GGAAGCTCAGAGGTGGCAGTGTCCTGGGCACACACTGCCCACGGCAGCTGGCCCAGGCTCCTCGCTCGGCCACGGGCCCTGGTGGCGAGGAAGCGTCCGTGAGGCTGCAGGCTCTGGTGGCCCTCAGCTGACCCACACTCCTCTCCCCCCAGCCGTCTTCAACAAGGACCTGGTGGCCACCTTGCACCTGCTCGTGGCCCTGGCCAAGCACTTCCAACCCAGCGTGCCCCTCCCAAGCAATGTCCAGGTGGAGGTGGTCACCATCGAGGTACCTGGCCCTGCCCCAGGCCTTCGGACACAGGACGGAGCACCTTGATGCTCACGGCACCCTGAGCTGGGTGCTGCCTGCGGCAGGGTGGGCTGGGCTGGGCTCCAGGGTGTTGTGAGAAATCTCACATCTCACCGGACAGCAGGCAGGTGCCAGCTGCAGAGGCGGGCTGGGCAGGAGGAGGGCCCTGGGCTGGCCAGTCTGGTCCATCTTAGCAGATGGCTCCTGCCCAGAGGCTGAGGCCAGCAGCTGTCTGGAAGATCCAGCTGATGGCCACTGACAGCACATGGGACATTGGCAACGTCACATCCCCGAGGCAGGCTGCTGCCCTGGTGACGCCTCTCATGGGCCAGTCCTGGCCGTGCCCACGCCCCCTCTCCTCGGGAAGGTCTCCTGTGGTCACTCACTCCAGCTGGGCCGGGTGCCTTCCAGGCGTCCGTGGCTTCTCTCCCCAGCAGGCTCTGAGCACCCCCATGACTCCTGCCCCCACCCGGGGCCCCAGGGTGAGCAGGGCCTGCCTTTGTGGCCCTGTAACGGGACGACCCAGTTGGGCCCAATCCAGCCAGGCTCAGTGCTGCTTTTTCCAGGACCATTGATTAAAACCCCCTGGTGGGCAGCCCGAGGCTCTGTGCACCCCACAACCAGGAGTGGCCACGGACGGGCCCCTTCACCGTCCATGGCCCCTGAGACGGGGAATCCCAGGGAATGAGCAGTGCCAGGCCCCACCTCCTGGGCTCAGGGCCCTGGGGAAGGACAGTTCCACTGGGCCCCGTGGGAGGGCTGCTCAGGAGCCACCCTGAGAGGGGGCCAGGCGGGCCAGCTGGGT